CAGCGGGACGTGCCCCGCCGCTGCGGCCGCCGCCGCCGGCCCGCCCGCGCCCCAGCCGCCTCCGCCGCCACCGCCGCCGCCGCCATCCCCGCCGCCGCCGTCCGCCGCCGCCGCCGCCTGCTGCTGCCCCTGCTGCGGAGGCTCCCCTAGCTGCGGCAGCAGCGTGTCCAGCATCGCGCCGCACATCGCGGCGGCGACCAGGTGTCGGTCCATGTGGCCCCTCACGTCCTCGCACGCGCGCGCCAGCGCCCGCGGGCGCCTGACCCACTGGATCCCCTCGAACTCGCACGCGTACAGCATCAACGGCTCCTCAGGCGCGTAGTTGTACTGCGGCTTGGCGGGCACCCGGGTGACGTCGAGGAGGGTGGCCACGATTGAGGGCGCCTCCAGGCCGCGGCCGACCATCAGCAGCAGCGCCGCGATGCAGCGGACCTGCAGGGCCGGGGAGAAGGCGCAAATCGCATGGTGTGTGGCGTGTGTGTGCTGGTGTTCGTGTGCGTGTGTGCGCTGTAGGGGAACGGTGGCGTGTGGGGTGTGTATATGAGGGCACTGGTGCAGGCGGAGTTCTAAATAGGTGCGTGGATGTGGGCGGGCCAGGAAACATGCGCACGGCGCGACGGGGGCCCAAGGCCGGCCGGAAAGCCCTTGCTGGACTCGCCGAAGGTTGAGGGGCGCTGCAGCACGCAAGCGTGCCGGAGCAGCTGCCCGGCAGCTGCACATTCACAGCATGCTGACCCCCCTCACTGGAGTGGAGTCCGTCCCCTAAGCAATAGGCGGCGCCCAGCGATCAACCAGGGGCGCGCCCCCCCCACCCACCTGGTGCCAAAGGAAGGCGGTGCCCCGAATGCACAGGGCGTAGACCTGGCAGTCGCCGGCCGCCGCGGGCACGCGGTCGATGGAGGCGCTGAGGATGCTGCGCCTGAAGTTGCGGACCTGCGGGGCGGTACGGGGACGGGCACGCTGGGTCGATGAGCGGTCATCCCATGAGTGCACGCGTGCATGCAACACGCGGCTGAAGACCGTGCATAGACCATGTGCTAAGCAGTCCTCACCCGCCTGTGAAGATGCGCCTCCACGTACAATCAGCGCTGGTGCCACAGCGCGACCAACTGCGGCGGCTGCTGCCCTACCACCGCTCGCTCGGCCCGCCTGCTGAAGCCAATACCCCGGCCCCCGCCCCGGGAGTATAAGATTGATGATATAATTGTATAAGTGGTGCCATGGCCCCTCACCTGCAGGACGTCGGCCCTGCAGAAATTCCTGAAGTCGTGCTCCCCCACCAGCGCGCCCGCCGCCTCGCGCATGGCCGCCAGATCGAGCGACCCGTCCTGCACAATGAAGTACTTGTACTCGCGGGTGCGCGCGTCAAACCTGGGAGGTGCGGGTGTGGGGTGATGCCAGGCGGCGCAGGGGTCCTGCCATATGCAACACCATCAGCACCAGGTCTGGTGGTGCATATGAAAGTAGCTCGGTACCAGGGGATTGCATCACCACCCCGGTAGGCCAGCTGAGGCGACATGCAGGATTGGGTGGCTGCCGGTGGGGTGGCACGGCAAGCGAGGGCGGGGCGGCAGCACTGGAGCTGAAACCCCCTGGGCAATGCTGCTGGCGGCCGCCATGGCGCCGGCAAAGGGAGGGGCGCACCTGGCGCTGAAGCCGTCGCTGACGTCAGCCCACCCCAGCACGCGGATGTCTGAAGGCAGGGCCCTTTGGAGGGGGGGGGCGCGAAGGTGGACGGGTGCTTGGCTAAATATGCGGGGATGCGACAGCAGCATGCCTTGGGGTGTGTGGTCCTGAAGGTGAGCGCAAGCCTTGGATGGGGGGCGGAACGCGGGCGGCGTTGCCTCTTTGAAGAGATGCCCGCCCCAACCGTAAAAGTGACACGTGCATGCAGTGGAAGGGGAGGAGGGGTTTGAGCGGCGCCGCCCCTGCTCTGCCAACAGATGCTGCACCTGTTGATGATGGCTGCAAAGTCCGTCTCCTCGTCTGCCGGCAGCGGGGGCTCGTCGGCGCGCGCTGCAGAGCGCAGCTTGATGGCCAGGACCTGCAGAAAATGCAGGGGGCCCCGCAGGCTCTGATCATAGAAGAACAACCTCCTTTGTAACCGCGCGGTTTGCTTTCAGGCACGAGGTTACTTCCTTTCAGACACGAGATTATTTCGTGCCACCTTGCTGCTTGAATCACCTAACCCATGCCGGCCCATGCATGAACCACATGCTGGCACCTTATGGGCCGCCCTGCGCCCCAAGGCCGCCCACCTGGCCCAGCGCGCTCACGCCCCTGTCGGTGCGGCCGCAGCGCGAGTACTGGAGGGAGGAAGGCTCCGCCTCTGGGGGGATCAGCCGCACGTGACGTAGCGCCGCGAAAAACACGCCCTGCGGAGGTTGGGGGCCGGAGCGGGTCGGTCGCTCTTTGGCGAGTCTAGCGGCCTCAAGCTAACGCCGCCCAAACTCAGCCGAACACGTGCCCCGCGCGCCGCTCGGGCCCGGACGCCCGTCGGCTCGGCGCCGCCGAGGCCGCGTGTGCGCCGCCCGCCGCTTGCCTGCCAGGGCCCGCGCGCCTCCTGGCACCTCCCACATGCCCCCCTGCCCCAAAGGGACCCTCAAGAGCATCTCTCGCCTCAATAGTGTTTTCAGTGTCCGGCTGCCGCGCCAGGCCATGGTACTTCCCTCCGAGGTACATCAGGTGGAGGGCCACGTACCGCTGGCGGTACCGCGAGAAGTCGAGCGGCTTGGCGGCGGCGGCTGGGTGGCGGGGTGAGGGCGGCGGCGCGCGGAAGCAGGGCTCGCTGCGGAGCGTATGCTAGTCATGGGCCGACGCAATCAGGACAGCTTTCAATCAAGTCACACTCCTCTATGCAACAATCCAGAAAGTCCGCTGGCTTGGTGACGCTTGAAATTTGAATGCGCAAATTGTAGAGGAAGCATGGTGCACACCTGCTGTTCCAGCGGCACGCCTGCGCCGCTTGGTCTGCGGCTGCGCCGGCGGCGCCGCAGCGGGCGCCGCCGTCGCTGCTGACGTGGTAGCTTGGTAGCTTCTCTCTAGCTGCTCAATAACTAAGGGGCACGCAGCGCGAGGATGCATGAGTTGGTTGTGCGTGCAGGGCGATTAGCGCCCTACGTGGCAGCCGGCTGTGTCATCGCAGTACCGATGGGCATCGACAGAAGCTGCACGAATTGACAAGCAGCCCAGCAGCACAGGATCAAAAGCTTCTTCCAATCCGGGCATGCACAGGCAATGCCGCGCTCCTTGTACCTTCATGGCTGGCAGTGGCGGTGGTGCCGGATGCACACGGCGTGGCCAGCGCTCCAGCTTCGCGCTGCTGCTGGCCCTGCTGTTGCGCCTCCAGCTGCCCGGCGATGGCTCTCAGCTGGCCAGACACCTCTGCAGGCGGCCACTCAGTATCCGCCGCGCACTCAAGCGCAGCGAGCAGGTCCCTTAGTTGCTTGCATACGCTGACACGCGCTGCGACATCGGGGTCCGCAGCCGGCGCTGCTGCGACTGCTGCTGCTGTGCTTCTCGGTGCCATGGATTGTTGATGTAGCCGGTGCGGAAGTAGTCCTTTGAAGGCGGCGGTGAACCGCCTCATAAAGTCGCCGGTTTGAAGAGAGGTCACGACTCGAAGTCTTGATGTTTAGCCGTGTACAGGTCGCATTGTAATTATCGCTTTTCGTGGAAAAGTTCTACACAGCCGAAAAGCTGCGCCATAGTGCTAGACTTCCAGATCCCTGCTCTGCAGATCAGCCGAACATCGCAGCACAGGATTCCTTTTTTGCGTCACTGAGTAGAGATAACACAGCCTCACATGCGCGCTTTGCGCTGCCCAGCTGCGCAGCAGGCAGCCAGGTGGGTTGGAGAAGGGTGTTGCAGCAGCGACGATGAGCAGCTCGTGCTGCATTGGCTGAAATGTCGCCAACCAAGTGCCGCTTCCTCGCTTCCTCACACAGGCAGCTGTTTGCATGGCAGGAAAATGCTTGGGCTGCTGCTACCAGTGGCACTAGCAGCGGCCGCGGTTTTGGCTCTGGCGAGTGCAGCTGCAGCGCAGACAGCAGCGGTGGGGGCGGCTGGGGCGGCGTCAGCAGCAACAGCGGCAGCAGCGGCAAAGGTAGCGGCGGCGGGGGTGGCGGTGACAGGAATGGCTTCGCCATGGGCAGCAGCCGTTGCAGGTCGTACAGCACCGACACGCGTAACCCAGCAAGTGACCCCCAGGACGAAACGGCATTGCAAGGGCAAGAGTCCGACCTGGCAAGCAGCAGCAGCGGCGCCGAGGCATCCGGCCTGGTGGCAGCGCAGCAGCGGCCGTGGCACTGGGTTCAGGAGCCCGCTGAGCTGTCAGACACGTGAGCCTTTCTGCTGCGGCGCGAACCCGCGAGCATTGACACAACCTTACTTGCATACCTGGAGTGCTCGGGTCGGCGCCGCAGCCCTTCGTGCAGCAGCAAAGCCATGGGCCACGTGCCGCAGCAGGGAAAGCTCGCTCGCTTGCGGTCCCTTCTTCTTGCTCAAACCCCCTCATTTGCCGCCCCCTCTCAACAACCACCTCGCCCCTGTGCAGCGTCACAGTGAACATCAGCAGCGCCGACCTGGGCCCCGACCACACAGGCCTGTACTACCCCTTTGACGCCTCCCGCGTGCCAGAGGCTTTCCAGGCGTTCCACCAGGCCTTCTACCCGCCGCGCCCGCAGAACCTGCAGCGCAAGGGCGGCTGCCGCGGCCTGCAGGCCGAGATCGCCACTGCGGGCGCTCCGCCGCACCTGATGTGGCGG